CTCGTAACCACTCAGAGAGCTCTTATAATGACCCAGAGAGCTCTCATAGCCACTCAGAGAGATCTCATGGCCACTCAGAGAGCTCTCGTAACCACCCAGAAAGCTCTGGTGGCCACTCAGAAAGATCTCGTAGCTACTCAGAGAGATCTCATGGCCAATCAGAGAGATCACATGGCCACTCAGAGAGATCTCGTGGCTACTCAGAGAGATCACGTGGCTACTCAGTGAGATCACGTGGCTACTCAGAGAGATCGCGTGGCCAACCAGAGAGATCTCATAATCACTCAGAGAGATCTTATAACCACTCAAAGAGCTCTCATGGCTACTCACAGAGATCTCGTGGCTACTCACAGAGATCTCGTGGCTACTCAAAGAGATCTCTTGGCCAACCAGAGAGATCTCATAACCACTCAAAGAGCTCTCGTAACCACTCAGAGAGATTTCGTAACCACTCAGGGAGCTCTTGGAACCACTCAGAGAGATCTCGTAATCACTCAGAGAGATATCATGGCCACTCAGGGAGATCTTATGGAGAATCTGAGAGAGCTCATGGCCACTCAGGAAGATATCGAAGACACTCACCAGTGGGAAAATTCAAAACATCCCCCAAAATCGAGTCCAAAGTTGACAGGTAAAAATACAATGAATAATTAATTATTACTAGATTATGTTGAATGATGCAGAAATGTAAAGTCATGCTTTATATATCGATGGTTTAATAGGTAAATTATATGTTTGTTTTAACAGATCATATGGTGCAAAGATATTGATAAAATTAAGATAATATATAAATGATATCAATGTTTTTTCAACTTACTGATGTCCTCTATCATCCAGTTTTCCAAAGTTTCCAATTAAGTTTTTTTACCTAGGCCTGATTTCCTGGCAGAACCCAGGCTTTTCTACTGAGCCTTCCCCACAATAAAACATTTGGACTCAGTGTCCTATTCCCTTTGAACTTTCAACGTGCTAGCCTAATCTAACAACCAAACCAAAAAAAGAAAAACAAACCAATTGCCATAGAGTCAACTTCAATTCATGCATGACAAACCCATGTGGTTCAGAGTAGAACCATGTTCCACAGGGTTTTCAGTGGCTGTGATCATTCAGGTGCCTCTGGGTGGATGTGAACTGCCAACTTTTCACTTCATATCTGAGCACTTAAATCTAACAATAAACTATGTTAAATGGCTGATAATGAATTTCTATATTTTTCTCCTCTATCTCCTTCATAAGGAGTCCTTCAGAGAATCCTTACCAGATAGGTGTATTGCTGTGCAGCTGAACTTTTCTGCTTTCCTCAAATCAGACCTTAGCAGAGAAGGCCTACTCCATGCATAGATGCAACCCTCACTTTCTGAATATATTATAAATATATTGCATATATTCATTGTTGACTTATAAGAGTGTTAGGCTAGGTCTTTCTGCCCTGGTGAATGAAGGCAGAAAAATTAAAATAAATTTGCAAATTGTTTGAGTTTTTTAAAACCATAGATCGTTGTATTGCAATTGGTTAGATGATTGAATAAAAATTTACTTTACCCTGAATTTCTCAGTGACTGCCTTCAGTTTGCATTGCTTATAAATATAGCCAGTCAAATATTTTAGAGCATTTTAACTGCACTGAATTGCTGATTTCAGCTCTACAAAAAATCTCTTCCAAAATATGTGTGTGGATTACTATGTATATAAACAATGTTTGATATAGACACTATTGTAATAAAAAAGGCCCTAACAACTTATTTTAGTGGGTGGAGTCCCTGGGTGGTTCAAACAGTGTTAAAACACTTGACTACCTCAGAAGAAAGGCCTGGTCATCTCCATCCACAAAATCAGCTGTTCAAAGCCTTATGGAGCATAATTCTACTCCAAGACACACACATGGGGTCACCTTGAGTGAGAATTGACTTTATTATAACTGGCTTTTAGTTATATTAGTGTTGTTGTTGTTGTTAGGTACTGTCAACTTGGTTCCAACTCATAGTGACCCTACGTACAACAGATCAAAACACTGTCTGGTCCTGCATCATCCTCACAATCATTGCTATATTTGAGCCCATTGCTGCAGCCATTGAGTCACTCCATCTTATTAAAGGTCTTCCTCTTTTTGGCTGCATCTCTGCTACCATACCAAGCATGATGGATATAAGTAGTGTACAAATAATTTGCTACAAAATATTGGTGACAAGAAATTCATATTTCTGCATTTATTAGGGATTTTCATATGCTTTACTTCATTTTATACATCAGTTTTTGCTTGTCAACCAGTATAACTGTTTCACAAAGGCACTAAAACTTTCATTTACATTTTTTTGTCCAATGACATATTCCTATCATTTTTGTATATACATATTAAAATATA